CCGCCAACGCTCGCCTCGCCGCCCGCCCCCGCGCCCCTCGGGGACCTCCAGCCCCGCTCCGCTCCCGGCGCTCCTCAGGCACGCGGTGCCTCCGTCCCCCCGCATCCTCCCGGCATCCCTCGTTTCCAGTCCCCGCGTGTCCATCGGACCCGGTGTACCACGGGGACCGTCCCACAGTCACCTTTCCCTGCAGCCAGTCTTGGAGACGGGCTGCCCACAGCACCCTGCCTAAGTATGATAACAGGAGCATTAATGATGCCTGTTAATTAGCCAAGCTACACTGGAGAATAAGTAATTTCCTCATTTACAGTCATACCAAAGGCAGAGCCTTTGAGGGACCGTAAGGAAGACAAACCTCTGCGGGTGTGCGCAGCCTCACTGCTCCGGCGTCCCGGCAGCCGGTGCGGGGCTCACCCCGCCGCGACGCCGTCCGTCCTCCTGCATCCACCTGGGGATGCCCCACACGCAGCGCGGCCACCTCTGCTCCTTGGCTCTCCGTCTGTGGGGGCCAGCGGGGCTGTGGGGGGCAGTGGGACGGTGGGATGGCCACTCGTGGGTCTCCATCCGTGGTCGGGTGCAGCAGCCGGGGCTGTGTGAGGAGGATGCGCTGGATGGAGACATCAGAGCGCGGCCCCCCCGCGCCCCGCGGCAGCTCATTAGCAGCTCTGTGAATCGCAACGGCTGAAAACCTCAGCCAGAACCGTTTTCCTAATGGAGAAACACTTCATAATATTTGGTGTCGGAGAAGAAAACAAGTTTCTGATGATGGCAGCGTGTCCTCCCTCGCCGTCTGCAGGCCCTGCGCTGCCTGCATCGCTGCCGGTGGTGCCTTCTCCTTCCCGTTCCACCCTTCTGCTGCCCTCTCCGAGCAGCTGAGACCCCGGGTGCCCGGCCCCGGTGACATGCCCCCCTTATCCCATGGGGAACCACGTTTCTGGCACCCCAGCCTGGCTTCGCAGGGGCTCAGCTGGGGCCGAATCCTGCCCTGGGAGCTTCCCACCACCCTCAGTTGGTTCCTGCGGGATGGCCCCAACGCTTTGCTGGCGGGAGGGCACGGAGGGGAGCGTGATGCCATGCCTGTCCCTGTCCCCACAGGTAAGCCCGCAGGGACAACCCTGCAGGATGCCGAGGCTACGGGGAGGATGCTGACACCATGAAGGGCTACCATGGGGAGCGTAGCCAGGCACAACCCTCCTCCGGCCACCGCTGCCGCTGCATCCCAGAGGACTGCGAGCATCCCGCCGACTACATCCAGCACGGTCCCGAGGGCCGGCCGCCCGAATTGAGAAAGAATGAATGAAAACTTACAGATTTGACACATTTCCTCATACATGAAGAATGGTGTTTCAATGATGACAATGTTGATTATGTATTTGCAGTGGCGTTTTTATTTTTCCATCAACCTTAAAAAAAAAATAACAATAATTTCAGGAATCCATGCAAGGAAGCTCTGATGAGACAGCCAACAGTGGTGAGGATGGCAGTAGCGGTCCCGGTAGTAGCAGTGGCCACAGTGATGGATCCAGTAATGAGGCCAACTCCAGTCACGCAAGCCAGTCTGCTGGAAGCCCTGGCAGCGAGGTGCAGTCTGAAGACATTGCAGATATCGAAGCTCTCAAAGAGGAGGACGATGAAGAGGAAGAAGATAGGAGTCATAATCCTCAGAAGAGCAGTAGGAGCACAGATCTACGAAGCAGGAAACTGGAATCACAAACAGGCATTTGTCTGGGAGATTCACAGGGGGCGTCGGAGAGGAGTGGTGCAAATAATGGGGCAGGAAAGGACCATGTTTTTAACACTGACTCTGTGACACCGGTAGATAATCGAATTAGAATGCTAGATGCTTGTTCTCATGCTGAGGATGCAGAGCATGATATGACAGGGGAAATGAGCACTGCTCACATTTCGCAAGGGTCTCAAGATTCTTGTATAACTCACACAGGGGACTTCCTTGGGGAAACTATTGGAAATGAGTTATTTAACTGTAGGCAGTTCATTGGGCCACAGCATCACCACCACCACCACCACCACCACCATCACCACCACCAGTCCCGCCATGGCAAGCGCAGCAAGAGCAAGGACCGCAAGGTGGACTCCCGGCACCGGTCCAAGATGATGGGCTGGTGGAGCTCCGACGACAACCTGGACAGCGACAGCAGCTACATGGTGTCCGGCCGGCACGCCGCAGCCCAGGGCACCCAGTACTGCGTGGACGCTCCCGAAAGTGCCTTCAGAGACTTGACCTTGAAGAGTCTAAAGGGCGGCGGGGAAGGAAAATGCCTGGCCTGTGCCGGCATGTCCATGTCTCTGGACGGCCAGACGCTCAAGAGGAGTGCCTGGCACACCATGACCGTCAGCCAGGCCCGTGAAGCCTACCCCAGCGCCGGCGGCACCGAGAAGACCTTGATGCTTCAGGAGGCAAAGGCCAAAGACCGAGCGTACCAGTACCTGCAGGTGAGGGGCCAGGCAGGGCGGGGGGCTGCCACCTCGGGGACTGCAGCTGGCGATGCTGTGGGGTGAGCCGGGGCTGAGACCCTCCATCCCGGCAGCCCGGGGCGGCGCAGGGATGCTCCAGCTCCACTCCACATCCCCAGCGCTTGCACCCTGTCCCCGGTATCCCACGCCGGTCCCCGCTGTCCCCTCGCCGGCAGTGCGAAGCCCCATCTGCCGCCTCCTGCCCCGGTGCCCGCTGGATTTGGGGTCAGAGCAGCTCTGTTGGCTCCGGGCTGCCGGTGGCCCCGCGCCTGCTCCCTCCTCACAGCTTTTATCCCGCTGCTGCCTGGCTGGGTGCCACAGCCTGCCACATCACCGACCCTTCTAGGTCACCCCCCTTCCAATTAAAAACTAATTAACTCTTCTCTCCCTTTCCCGGGGGAAGGAGACAGGCAGCGGTAACGCCGTGCTGGCCGGGGATGGAGAGGGTGGCCGGGGCCCCGCTTTGCCACCAGCAGGGGCACTGGGGCAGAGTGACAGCCCCACCGCCCTCCCCGTGGGGCCCGGGGGACGCCGTCCCACCGCCACCGCTCCGTAAGGACCCCGTGGTGCCGGCGTCAGCGGCGCGTGGTGGGCCTGGCGGGCCCTCCCCAGCA